CTTAACCCTCTTGCTACCTAAAAAGTTACTCTCACTGCGATCAAGCGTTTGTTTCCCGTGCATTCTGACTCTGACAGAGTCTGTCTGACTGAATTTTCGTATTTGCCGCCCAAGGGGAACGTTAGAACATACCATCTGGCGAGGGGGAGGTTACACATACCCTCTACTTTTAACCTCCACCGTGGTGGTTGAAACCTCCCCCTCGCGTTGGTTCGGTCCAAACCTGACCAATCACGAGGCGGCTCCCTCCGTTCACATCACAGAGCCGGCTTTTAGAGCATCAACACATCACTAACGTGTTCGCTGGCAAGATGGTTAAGGTTAGGATAGGGGTGAGGGGAGGGTTAAATAAGAAGACAAGGTTAAATAAGAGGATAAGGTTAAGGTGAGGTACAATGAGCTTGTTTGGTGCCCTGGCTGCGGACATTCCATCACGTCAGTGTAACGCTGCATTGGGATGCAACTGTAGCGGACGTCCCATGGCTTCAGTTTTACGCTGCATTGGGATCTGCAGTCAAATAAGGGAAAAACCCCTTTTCGCACATAAGTAACGAAAAAGGGCACTTTTGGCGTCAGGGGTCTGACGTGGAGGGTGGCTGACCAAGCGTTTGTTTGCGCTGGGAGTGAGAACGTGTGAAATAATAGTAGGGACCTGTTGTATTTTTAAATGCACAAAGCCCACAACATATCGCTATTAGAATGAAAGTAAAATGAAATAAACCTGCATATTTTGCCATAGAAAATATTTTAATTGGTTACAAAAAATGTGTTTTCCATATCAAATGTGCTAAAGCTTTACAGATGATTATTTTAATTGTGTGCAGGTGAGTCTAGGGAAACTGGAAAAAGTGTAAAAGGGAGTGCTGAGTCATTTCATTTTAAAGATTTGAAAATCTCAGAACAGCTGTTTGAACAGAAGGTAGATTGTTATATTGTTAGAGGATGTGTTGTAAAGAACAATGTTGGAGATGTGCACTGATGTTCAAATGAACCTACATTGTAAAGCAACTCTTTCTTGCACTGAATTACAAGGCTTTACCGAGTAGTGTGCTTTTGTAGACTATACATATAAAGTTCCAACATGATTTTAATAATAATTCATTAAGTGGGCCGGTCTGGGGTCTGAAACTCCAGGGCTGAAAACGTGTCCCACTCCGGCCCTGGGCCAAACTGTACTTAAAAACTGACCATTACTGGACGTTACAGATATATTGGTTGGCCGATATATCAGGACGATATTAACCATTTTTTATACATCAACATTGGCCAATATGTGTCCTTAAATTCAAGATTCAATATCATTGTACTGTCATTGCACAGGTGTTGACTTTGCACTAACTAAAGACAGCTCACATAAGGGGGTACTAAAATATAAGTAAAATATAATAACAAGGCTAAAATCAATGTCAGACACATGCTCTCTCCCTCTCTCTCTCACACACACACCTTTCATACATGCCAGTTTAAGGTGCAAAAAAGTATAACTGTAAACATGATAATTAGAGATTTTGTCGGCCAACAAGTCCAGGAACTATATTGTTCAATTTCTTTAAGAATCATGATTATTTCATTTGTATTAATGTTATTTTAGTTAAAAGGGGCAGACAACATAAGTTTTTCTTCTTTCTGTCCCCTTTTTCATTTTGGCTTGCAGCAATTTAGTTCTGTATTTTTATTTTACTGTCAATAAATGAAAATAAAAGATTAAAAAAAAGACAAGTCTAATCTATAAAGTAAACATGATAAATATAAACAGTCACACAAACTAATTAATACGATTATTTTTGTTTCAGACATGTAAGGTTGAGTTGTGAGTTTTTATTTTCCTCGACATGTTTCAACCGATGACTGCAGTCTTCATCAGAAGAAGAAGAAAATGTCATTTCTATAGCGCCTCTCAAGATAAAAATCACGAGGCGCTTCACAAAAACAAAAAAAAATGTAAAAATATAAAAAAGCATTTAGAAAATGTTTAAAAATATATTTAAAATGAGCAAAAATAGGCAATTGGGATTTAAAAGAAAAAAGTTAAGAAAGAGAGAGTGTGAATAGGAAAGAGAGAAATCAGTGGATCCTGAGGAAGGTGGGATAGGTGGTGAGAGCAGAACTAAGAGAGAGTGGTGAAGAAGATCATACAAAAGCCAGCATGAACAAGTGAGTCTTCAGCTGCTTTTTAAAGGAGACCACTGAGTCCACTGATCTCAGGCTCAGGGGGAGAGAGTTCCAGAGTCTGGGGGCCACAGCAGCAAATGATCTGTCACCTTTGGTCTTTAGCCTGGTGCTGCACAACCAGTAGGCTTTGATCACTGGACCTCAGGGACCTGCTGGGGGTGTAGGGACTAAGAAGATCACCAATGTAAGATGGTGCTTGTCCATGTAAGGCCCTATAGACCAGAAGTGTCACACATGTGTGTATGATGCGTGTTTATCAGCTGTTCTTCTGGTGAGCACAACCTTACATGTCTGAAACAAAAAGGGTCTTATAATAATAATAATAATAATAATAACAGTAATAATACATCATACTTATATAGCGCTTTTTAGGACACTCAAAGTGCACATGCACTCTCACATTTACACACTGCTAGTGATGGTAAGCTACTTGTAGCCACAGCCGCCCTGGGGCGGTCTGACAGACGCGAGGCTGCCATTTGGCGACGCCGGCCCCTCTGACTACCACCAACACAGGCAAGTTGGGTGAAGTGTCTTGCCCAAGGACTCAACAGCAGAATACCCCTGGCGGGAGCTGGAATCACGCCCATGACACGCCAACCATGAGGCAACCCACTCTACCACCTGAGCTACTGCTGCCCTATTAATTATCTAAGAACAGGACATAATGAACGTTCCATCTGAAATAGCATTAAGATGCACATACTATAGTATAACAGTTAGAATGACCTGAAATAGTTTTAAAATCCACATACTATAGTATAATGTTTAGAATGACCTGAAATACCATTCAAATACAGATACTATAATATACTGTTTAGAATGACCTGCAATAGTATTAAAATACACATACTATAGTATAATGTTTAGAATGACCTGAAATACCATTCAAATACAGATACTATAGTATACTGTTTAGAATGACCTGCAAAAGTATTAAAATACACATACTATAGTATTATGTTTAGAATGACCTGAAATACCATTCAAACACAGATACTATAGTATACTGTTTAGAATGACCTGCAATAGTATTAAAATACACATGCTATAGTATAATGTTTAGAATGACCTAAAATAGTATTAAAACCACATACTATAGAATAATGTTTAGAATGACCGGAAATAGCATTAAAATACACATACTATAGTATCATGTTTAGAATGACCTGAAATAGTTTTAAAATGCACATACTATAGTATAATGTTTAGAATGACCTAAAATAGTAGTAAAACCACATACTATAGAATAATGTTTCGAATGACCGGAAATAGCATTAAAATACACATACTATAGTATCATGTTTGGAATGACCTGAAATAGTATTAAAACCACATACTATAGAATAATGTTTAGAATGACCTGAAATAGTTTTAAAATGCACATACTATAGTATAATGTTTAGAATGACCTAAAATAGTATTAAAACCACATACTATAGAATAATGTTTCGAATGACCGGAAATAGCATTAAAATACACATACTATAGTATCATGTTTGGAATGACCTGAAATAGTATTAAAACCACATACTATAGTATAATGTTTAGAATGACCTGAAATAGTATTAAAACCGCATACTATAGTATAATGTTTGGAATGACCTGAAATAGTTTTAAAATGCACATACTATAGTATTATGTTTAGAATGACCTAAAATAGTATTAAAACCACATACTATAGTATAATGTTTCGAATGACCGGAAATAGCATTAAAATACACATACTATAGTATCATGTTTGGAATGACCTGAAATAGTATTAAAACCACATACTATAGAATAATGTTTAGAATGACCTGAAATAGTATTAAAACCACATACTATAGTATAATGTTTGGAATGACCTGAAATAGTTTTAAAATGCACATACTATAGTATAATGTTTAGAATGACCTAAAATAGTATTAAAACCACATACTATAGTATAATGTTTCGAATGACCGGAAATAGCATTAAAATACACATACTATAGTATCATGTTTGGAATGACCTGAAATAGTATTAAAACCACATACTATAGAATAATGTTTAGAATGACCTGAAATAGTTTTAAAATGCACATACTATAGTATAATGTTTAGAATGACCTAAAATAGTATTAAAACCACATACTATAGAATAATGTTTCGAATGACCGGAAATAGCATTAAAATACACATACTATAGTATCATGTTTGGAATGACCTGAAATAGTATTAAAACCACATACTATAGAATAATGTTTAGAATGACCTGAAATAGTTTTAAAATGCACATACTATAGTATAATGTTTAGAATGACCTGAAATAGTATTAAGATAAACATACTATAGTATAATGTTTAGAATGACCTGAAATAGTATTAAAATACACATACTATGGTATAACAGTTAGAATGACCTGAAATAGTTTTAAAATACACATACTATAGTATTATGTTAAAAATGACCTGAAGGTTTTATTTACCTGCAACGTTTTGTTTGGGGCTGCAAACGTTGCAGGTACCTTTCTATGTTTTAAAAAGAACTAAAAGATGGAATTAGAATTTCAACACAGCAAGAACGCACCAAAGAAGATATACTGAGTGTTGTACGGTAGTGACACAAATTGTTAGGTAAGCCGATTTAAAGTCAGGCCCATAAAAATCGGCAGTACATGTCGGCCATTGGCTGACCGTGTCTCCTACATATCAGCAAAGGTATCGGCAGAAAATCCATATCGGTCGACCTCCAGTTCAGACTCTAATGGATTAAAACTCCAACATACTCATAATAAAATATATTCTTATAATTTATCCTCTAATTGTTTTCACAACGTTCATAATTGCTTTTCCTGTCTCTTTTAAGGAAATGCCTTCGTAGTAAGCCTGGCCTTCGCTGACTTGGTGGTCGCCATCTATCCGTACCCTTTGGTCCTTACCGCCATCTTCCATGATGGTTGGATTGCAGGCTACATCCACTGCCAGATCAGCGGCTTCCTCATGGGTCTCAGCGTCATCGGCTCCATCTTCAACATAACCGGGATCGCCATCAATCGTTACTGCTACATCTGCCACAACCTCAAGTACGACAAACTGTTCTCCAGCAGCAACACCATGTGCTACGTCATGTTCGTCTGGACGCTTACAATCCTCGCCATTGTGCCCAACTGGTTCGTGGAGTCCCTGCAATATGACCCACGGGTTTACTCTTGCACGTTTGCGCAGTCGGTCAGCTCCCTGTACACCATCACTGTGGTGGTGGTGCACTTCATCTTGCCAATTGGCATCGTCAGTTACTGTTACCTGCGTATTTGGATTCTGGTGATCCAGGTGCGGCGGAGAGTCAAGCCAGACTCACGACCCAAAATCAAACCTCATGACCTCCGCAACTTTCTCACCATGTTCGTGGTATTTGTGCTCTTTGCTGTGTGTTGGGCGCCATTGAACCTCATCGGCCTGGCGGTGGCGTTGGACTCCAGGCTGAGCCGGGCCATTCCCGAGTGGCTGTTCACGGCCAGCTACTTTATGGCATACTTCAACAGCTGCCTCAATGCCGTCATCTACGGTGTACTGAACCACAACTTCAGAAAGGAGTACAAAAGGATCGTCCTGATCATCTTCAAGTTCCATTGCTGAGATCAAACAGGACACAAGACATGAGGAAAGGGGTTATTTTCAACTTTGCGGATGAGAAAACACCGATAAAAAGCCATGAGCAAATGAGATGAAAGAAAGCAGGACTGATGAAGGGGGAAAGAAAACAAAACACTGTGAAAGGAAGAAGGCTGAACATGAGAGAAAAATAGAGGAACTTTAACAGCGGGAGGAAGCAGAGTAAAATAAATGATGCCACACTGAGTTATCAGTGATGCCTTCAGGGAAACTAGGAGAGGTTACAAATGTAGAGAGCCAGACTGAGAGCAGAGTTTAGAAATAACTTAGTAATGTGTTTCTCCATGACTTTCTTTGCTAAGAGGGTCATGAATAACTGTTGAAATGACAAAATTAATGGTTGTTTTTGTTTTTCACCAACTTCATATTTCATTTAGAGGTCAGGATATATTGTGATCATCCTCTTCCACCTGATTTATTTTGGTGTGAAACATGCTGCAGAACTTCTCTAAAACTGTGAGTTTGTGTAGTTTATTCATAGCAGCATAAAGCCACAATATGATGAAAATAACAAAGCAGTGCTTCTGAATCGTTGAACCCAGAAGCACGTTTTTAACATCACAATTTAAACTGACCTCAGACATTTTCTACTTGAGTTGAGCTAACTTGCAAAAAAAAGGTTTGACCATTTTATTAAAGGGAACAAGCCATTAGGTCAAAGACAAACAGAGATTAAACTAAACTTGGACTGAATGAATTGCTGACCTCACTGGACCGTTTAAATTTTAACAACATGGATGGAGGGATGGATTGATATTTCTCCACCTAGAGAACCTAGAGTTTCTTTTTCAAATTTGCAAAAGAACAACTGGCAACATTATGAACTGTGCAGATTTATTCTAAATGCAAATAACCCAACTAGCCCAAGTAAAAGCACAAGTGCCACAAACTGCTTTTTAGGGTTAGGGTTCTTACTGTTCTTACTGTTCTTTTTAAACGAAAACGTTTTTAAAAAGTCTATAATGTTCTAATAAATTAATACAATTTCACTGACTAAATCCAGTCTGTATTTTAGTTTAAGCTGAAGGTCATATAAAATGACTAACCCTAACACTAACTGTTCAATATAGTGTTTTTTTTAATCAGTGAGACTATTATTTTTCAGCTGATTATCAAAGCAAAATTGAAGTCAAGTATACACATTAAAACTTAAGCTTGAGTTTTACTTGCTGACAAATTTTAAAGCTGCAGATAAAAAGTGAAGATCAGGACCTGGAGGTATCTGCTCCATCAAGGAGCTTTGAGGAAAAAACAAAGTGGTACCAGGATGTGTAACGTGGTTCAACAAGTATTTTCACACCTGGAGTTTGGTTCCATTGGTGCGATTAGTTCATAAGTTTGTGGATTTCTATTTTTTTTTTCTTTAATTCAGTTTCTGTTCACACAGAGAAAACTGCAAACAAAACATGTCACTAGCCAGGTGAGAATGTTCACCTGCATCAGCTGCTGTTTCCTGTTTGTGGCACTGTGCCTTCATTTAAAGTGGCATTATTTACAACATGAACTTAATATTTCACATCCAAAACGATGAACTTGTACCAGAGATAATTAGCCCCACGTCCGAGGGAAAGGTAATAATGAAACAAGGATATTGTGTCCAGACTGAAGACCAAATTATCAGAAGTTAACATGATTTAATTTTTACGCCCCAAAAACATGCTTAAATATCAGTCAGCATTTTATCCATACAACATTGATCTTTGGGCTACTTCCCTAGTCTACTTTGAAATGTAGTACTTCAGTTTTATCCTTCACAATAAAAGTCTCACATACCTGAAAATATGTTATCAATAGAGTTGTCTGATAAAACTCAAAAAACTACATTTTATGAAAACCAAGTTGTTTATTCTCTTTTTTGTCTTTGCATGCACACATCCTTCATCACTGAATTATCTTTTCAGGACCAATCTAGACACGTTGCTGACTTTGGCTAACCCTACCTTTGTGACAGGAGCAGCCAAGGTGGGAAAACCTCTCCGCATCTGTCATAATCTGCATTAATATGTGGTGTTGAATCATTTACAAACAAAACAAGTTATTGTGAAAGTATCTTTGCCAGAACAAAGCAATACTGTGTGAGAATTTTTCAGCCGTGTCTCACACATTCAAACTGAGAGTGTACAATACCAAAACGAACACCATATCTCAGCCGCTGTACTCAATTTTCACATCAAATGTTCTGAGCTGTGAAAACATTTCCTTCAAATTTGAATAGTTACCATGATTTTTTTTTACCAAAAGAAAAGAGTAAGAAGAAAATGAAGATGAGTTATTTAAGTTTTAAACGGTTCTCTGACCACATCACTGTGTCACTTAGAGAGGTAAAGGTTACATATGTGTGAATGCAAGGAGTGCTGCTGATACTGTGGTTGCTTCAACCTCATCTTAATGTGTGTGTGTGTGTGTGTGTGTGTGTGTGTGTGTGTGTGTGTGTGTGTGTGTGTGTGTGTGTGTGTGTGTGTGTCCTACTGCCCTGGGACCAGTTCTTCCCTGGCTTAAAGGTCCAACAAGGACAGTTAAATTGGTAGCAGGTCCAGGGGTTAAAAGAGTGTGTTTTCCTCATGCCAAATCGTTGCTGGCTCCACTCTATCTATATGTTTCTATAGGAAACTTTAAAGTGGAGGCACTTCCTCAGCCATTTTAAAGTGAAACACCCTCTTAACTGACAGCAACTTTACATGAAAGCTGCAAAAGTGCTGTTTGGTGGATTTTATTCCCACTCCCAATTGTTAATCCAGATTATCATCTCAGACATTATAAGTGTAAAGCTGTCCAGTGTTTAAAGCATTTTTCTTATTTCAGTAAGAATTTGTTTTTATTTGTCTTTTAACTGGAGTGAAATTACACAAACAACCACATTTAAGGTCTGTCATTTCTTTCACTTTTGCCTGCTGTTTACTAATGGCGTTTGCTCTTTTAGACATAAAGACAGATGTCAAGTAAACTTTCAACAGAGGGTGAAAAATAAAACTAAGGACATGATTTTTAAAAGCAATTAGTTCAAAACCCCTTTGTTAAAATGTCATGATTTCTGTTTCTTGTTCCATAAACATTTCCTGAAATTTTCATTTTCATACATTCACCCATCATTGTACGGGATCAAATTTACAATTCAGTCTGAAAAAAACATTCTGATTTCACCAGAATTAGAGGTTGATTGGACCTAATTTGCACTGAATTCTCTCTTATTGTCTTCATTTGTATTCTGACAATGCCTTCTGAGTCCAGAGAGATGGAGGAACATCTCATATGTACTGTAGAGCACAACAAATCCTGGTGGATGTGGTTCATAAACTCTCTAAACAATAAGATGAGTAGCAACTCAAAATCTGAACTGTGTTCAAACGGACATGGTGTGACTCCCTAACGGAGAAAGTCTATACAAAATATTCAAAGGGCAACTCAAGGAAAAAAAAAATAAAAATACAATCTGGTCATCTAGAGCTATCTTAAGGAAAATTGGATCTAATCAACCTGATGATGCAAATGAAATCAGGTCGAACAAAGCCTGAAACCACGTTTGGAGTCTCAGTTGTAAGTTTGATCTGAGGGGTAAACTCCAGCTGCAAAAAAGTGAAGCCAACATGGAAGTGACGAAAACTGCTGTCCCCCTTCTGCTTAATCCAGCAAAGGCCTCAATTTCACCTGCTTCCAAGATGCAATGAGGAGGAAGATGATCTAAGCCAACATCACACGTAGTATGGAGAGAAACAGTGAGATCTCACTGGGCAAAGACCATTGGTGACAAAACAACAGTGTTCTCAAGGGAGTTTATTAAGTATCTCAAAATAGTTGCTAGAATTCTCCATTTCCTTGATTAATTTGCTGGGCTCCACTTTTGTATGAAACTTGGACTATTTTCAATAAATCTGTAGAACAATTTTCTCATATAGGTTACTAAGGGTGTCTGGAAACTAACTCTATTCTGTCAGAAAGTTCAAGAAACTAGAGATGCAACAATACCACTTTTTTCCAAACCGATACGATACCGATACTTGGATCTGAATAATCGCCGATACCGATTACCGATACCTATACTTCTACCACACAATAAAATGCAATGATTTGGAATACAGATTTTACTTTCTTCTCTGCTTTCAACAGGAAAGGACTGTGAGGTAGATAAAAAGTAAAATATATGAATGGAAATCATCACAAAACTAAAATATTAGGCGAATAGAAATGACAAGTTACAGTGAAGCCATTTTCAAGCAACTGCATTGGTATTGGTTCCTGGTATCGGTTAACCTTTACCGATACCGATACCAGTATCATATCTGTATCGGCACCGATACCGATACCAGTATCGTATCTGTTTCTGCACCGATACCGATACCAGTATCGGTATCGGTGCATCCCTACAAGAAACATGCTACAACTGATTAGAGATTAAAAATAAAAAAAGACAGCATCTAATTTTCCAAGAGTCAATATCAGGATAAGTCGCAAACAATTAAAACATATAGAAGATGTGTTGATACAGAACTGCAGCAAGACACTTTGGTACAAATTGGTTACACAATATTTGCAGGTAATTTGTATTTTTGGCATAAACAAACATGTCATACAAAGCCATTCAGTGTGGTTTCACCTGAAAATGTGAGTACTTTCTCACAGTGCTGTGTCTAAGTAGTTGACATGCTCACTTCCAGTGAGAAACTGGTTTTCAGAGAACTAAAAGCTGAGATGTGTTGGTTGATAAATCCAAATATTTACGTTCTCTCAAAATCACGAGCTTCTGCAAGCTTTGCACATTTGTTATTGATTTCTCTGTGTTCTGTGGTTAATCTGTTTCCCTATTTCTAAGAAAAATATGTACTTTTCATTTTACAGACTTGTTTTCTGTCCCAGTTAGCATCTGTTAGCAATGAGACAGTCGTTCTTTTTTCCCTGTCTGTTTGCCCACCACCTAACTCTTTCATCTGCCAGTGTTGGGTCTAAAATTAATATTTCATTTGTATTTTTTTTTCTTGGTTCAAATTGAATAATTTTAAATGCATTTAATCTCAGAGCTCCTTTGTCATAATGTGTCCTCATTGATGCATTTCCCAAGGTTAGAAAGGGCTATATTTCAGGCTCTCAGTTGTTTTAAATCATCACACAATAATCTCCTCCGCAAACTAAATTTTAAATCAAAGAGGACGAAATTGTAATTGTTGGGCCTAGAATATGCCTGAGAGTTGATTTTGTTACCTATGCTCAAAGCCAAACTAAATGATTCAAATGTCTGTAGCTATAAGCTGATGAAAATCAGTGTTTATGTTGCTTTTGAGTTTCCCAGCACATGTAGCTATGAATGCACATCCTGTGATGTTGCGGTGAGTAAACGAAGCATCAGTATGACCCAGTTAGAGCAGTCTGATTGCATCAGAAGCTAATTTAATTGGTCTGCTGAGAATTTTCAATCACCGAATCAGCCTTCACCTGTTGTTAGATGCGTCATCACATCCCTTTTATTTCTATTGTTAGAAATTAAAGCAAGCTCGTTGTTTATGTGCTTGGAGCTGCCGACAAAATGAGAAAATGTAATAAAGTGTATGTGTCTGAGGCAGAAGGCCAGCCAGCTGCAGCAAAAGCTACCAGCACGCAGTCGGAGAATGTACCTGTTTTCCTTTCCACACACCGGTTTGCACATCGCCGTGGAGAATGTTTCTTCTGAATGTCTGTAATGCTGATGAGACGAAAGAAACCAATCGAGCCATGAACAAACATGTCTTAATAAAGGAACGTTCACTGTGACAATGCGTCCTGGTCTCTTTGTTTCACGCTTTCAGCACTCCCCACGCTACACGTAGCAGCTATCTTAGCATCTAAAATACCAAACGCTAATCAAACGTTGCAGTGAGATTCAGATGAAAGATCCTGCAAGTAGCATGGATCAGATTTCTTGGTGTTTCTCTGTGATTTTAGTCAACATGAACCTGACAGCTGTCTGGTTTCTCTCCAGTTGCACACACACACACACACACACACACACACACACACACACACACACCTGAACAAGCTACACCTCGTCTTCTGTAGTCTGGAGGTGTTTGCTGCAGTAACAGGAGAATCTGACAGGCAAGCGGGAGCAATGCTGTAAGTCAGCCTCCGTCTGCAGCGGGAGGTGAAGCAAGGGGGAGAAATCAAATGGCACTTGAGAAGAAAGATAAAGAGAGAGACTGAGAGAGTTAGCATTGAAAAGAAAATGAGAATTAGACACTAAAACCAAGGAGGAAACGCAATCTTGTGTTGACTAAAAAGCGCAAAGTGGGAGAGAAGTTAAATAATCCACTCTGCCAACACTGTTGTGTAGGTGAGACAGTCCAGGTTAAATAGAGGCAAATGTGTCTGTACTAAAATAAAACAGAAGTGAGAAGATGGTGATTTTTTTTTTCACCTCCTTACAGGTTTATTTCTCACAGTAAAATGTTTCAGATCAGCAATCAGACGTCATCCTCCTAGAAAGATTACCTGAGTAAATTAAAAATGGAGTTGTCAAATGATGATTTTATTTATTGGGAGTATACATAAACCAAGTGAGCACTGTATGAAAAAAAGAACCCCAACCTCCACCCCATCCTTTGATTCAACATTGTGGTTTGTTAACCACTGACCTCATCCAGGCCTGATGGCTTCAAGACCTTTTACCTCCTGGGACCCAAACTTGTATTTAGCGTAATTTAATAGAAAAAAAAACATGTCTAGCTATTACAGATTAGTCAACTTTCATCAATGGAAACACAATTACAAAAATTAAAATAACTTAAAAATACAATTAAATAAAAATGTTGTCAACTTGTCAAAAAAAAGACAGCAAAAAAACATTTCAAATATCTATCAAGTGTCTATAAACAATAACAGGAAGGTTTAAGTAGAAGAGATTAAAATGGTGGTATGCATGGAGCCAATGTCCGCATCTCCCAGTATAACCTGGCTGACGACTCAAAGTAGGATAAAGGTCTCGAAAGACAACCAAAGCACTCAGCTTCACAGCAAAGACCTGACTCATTTTTGACAGAACACCTGGGTTTTAGAGAAGCATCATCACACCAACAGTACAACATGGTGGTGGAACTATGATGGTCTGGGGCCTCTTTGCCGCTTCTGGACTTGAGTGAGTTGCTGTAATTGATGGAATCCTGAACTTCTCTCTACTAAAGGATCATGAAGAAGAATTTCTGACCTTAAACACCCCTTTACTGTAGCTGAGAGACTCATTACCACCAAGGGCATTGCAGCTATTATTTTTTTCACACAGACCCAAGGTGGTTCCGATAAATTTGTTCCCTTAATGTATGTAAGTTACAAAAAATGTCTCCACTACAGGATCGGTATGCTTTGAACTAATCTTTTGAAAATTGTAGTTTGTTTTTATTACATTTATATTATCTGAAACATTGAAAAAGAAAAGAAAAGAAAAAAGAAAAGAAAAGAAAAAAAACCAGAAGAAATCTAATTGTGTGGGGAGCTGAAAATCTACACAAACAGAAAACAAAACCATCAAAATCATAATAATTTAATACATGATAATACAATATTGAAATGTTCAATAAGCATCTTCTGGTGAGAAGGAACTTTCTGCACTAACAAGGTGATTTCTGGAGATTTTAGCTAAAACATGATATGTGTCTTCATGGTGCAAACAGTAGCATGCTGCTGGACTATCAGATGGCGAAAATTAAACTGCCATCCTAGAAACAGTTATTGCATTTATTAAAGAAATGAGAACAAATCCAGAAAAGGTGTTTTCTGAGAATTACCTTGATGATTAGATACAAGGAATTCTGTTTTGTTGGGTTGTAAGAAGAATGCTAATATTTGACCCTCTAATTCACAGGTGAGTGTTTTTCTGATTAGTAGCTGCCTTGAATAGCATCTAACGGAATACTCACTTTGAGGGTTTTTATTTCTTTTTCTTCATTAGCCTGATTTGTCAGGCTTCTCTTTGTCTACCAGAGGTCCCACAGAAGGTTTTCTTTATTTCTTTTCTTGTTTCTGAGTTAGACCCAAAAGAGAAATAGGGGTTACTGAGGTGATCTTCTTAATTATCAAGTACTAAAGCCAACATTTTAGTTTTTAATTATTGTTTTTTTATTTATTTATTTTGATTGAAAAACAAAACAAAATTAGTCCTGCTGCTAATGGATATATTGTGGGCTCTTTTCAGGGTTAATAAGAGTTTTCTATCACATTAGGACTCACAAAGGCAAACGTGTCCACTTGCTGATACAGTTTTTGATAGCAAGCTTCACATTTCCTGATTAGCTGACAGAACAGCAGACAAAAGGAACAAACACCATGTCGTGTTTCTGAATGCATTTTCACTTTAATTGTCCTACAGAACTCCTGAAATTCTGGATGTGAGGGATGCTTTTCAATTAAAGGGAAACTACCCCACCCCCTAACCCCCGCTCGCAGCAAACCACCCACCATTTCTGAAGAAAATTATCATCCTCATAAACAGAAAATGCACATTATTCTCAGCTCACCCCAGCTCTCAGAGTTTTGAAATGGAAAACAGCTTTCTAAAGAGGAGGAAAAGGAGCCGAGTGTCTGCAGGGAAGCTTTCCTTATCTGCCTGTTCTCAGTAAAAGCTGCACGATGCAGACAGCGCCGACAGAGCTGGCTACTCAGCCAACTTCAAACTCTTTCAGCTCCTTCCAAAACGGCACTCTTCAGGGTGTTCAGGGGAACAGCTTGAGCTGGGCTCAGCCCTGTGTGTTTAAATAAAGCCTCCTAGAACTCAAGGGAGACATTAGTGTTTGGCCTGGAAATCTGAATTAATGAAAACAATTCACAAGAAACTAAAGAAAATCACTTTCTGAATTTGAAGATTCTGCCTACGATGGTGAAAAAATGCATGATGTGTGGGGGGTAAACTAAAATAAAAATCAGCTATATTAATTAAGTTAACTTAGCCATTTTTTATGGTACTGGTTGTGTTTTTTACTGAGTAAACTACCAATATCTAGGCACTCACCAATACAGGTGCCTTTTGACACCTGTATAGCACCGCCTTCAGTAGCACTTCCAATAATCCTTCACAAGTTTTATTCACACCAAACGTGGAACCGGTGCGCTCCAGTTTTTGTACAACTTCCAGACAAACTGCCAATTAAATATCGATGTGGATAGTAGATTGAACGTCTCTGGATATCTGCTCCCACAAAAGGAACCAAATCATTAAAAATTTGACATAAAATATTTTAAGATATACCTGTAAAATATCCCTGTCAATAATGAAACATGAGATGCAAAAAAACAATGTAACATGAGCTTTATTTTTGAAATATATTAGGTGCACCTTGTTGAAACACATTTCACTTCCTGTCTGGCTCATGTAATTTCTTTAAGTTTATGACAATACCCATGCAGCATCCAGAAAAACCTGACGCCATGCGGAAACTTCCTATGGCTCCGCATTTAAATCAGCACCGTACTACAGCTGGTGTGAACGCTCTGATTGGACTCAATGATTTTTGGTCTATGTGGAAAGGAAACATGATCGCATCTGTTCCACATTCAGCGTGAAGGAGGCTTGACACTTATGCACGTACCTCAAAACATCTGAATCTCACTAAAAAGTTTTTAGTAGTATTACTACTGTTCTCTGTTTGGGTTGTATCAGATCCTGGAGAACGTCAGTAGGAAAGCCTCCAGTGACGAGCTGCTAAGTGAATGCCTCAGGCAGCAGGGACCCAGCGTGGAGGAACCAACATGGAGGGACTAGGCCCTGAGCAGCATGTACCACTGACAGATCCAGGAAGAGGCTGATAAATCATACGAGTCAAAATGTCAAGAAAAAATTTGAAATGTGAAATTTGAAATGAAGAAACACTAATTTGTTGATCGTTTCACCTCCCAAACTTAACTGTGATCATTTAAAGATAGGTTTAAAACAAATGAAAGGTAAAGGAAAAAGTAAAGAGGAGATGAGCTGGAAATGATGGCTTCAGTCTATGAAGAAAATAATCCCTTCCATCTGTAAACTGGAGGGTTTTAGGACTGGAGCAAGACTCCAATGAACTAAAAAAAATTCATATTTAACAACAAGTTAGACATGCAGCTTAATTAACAATGTGCTGTTGTCTGAATACATCGGTCTAAATTAGTGACTACTCCCTCCTGGTTTTGATATTTCATCTCAGGCTGAACGTAAATGCAACGTGCCGCTTCACGCAGGAAAATTAACCCCATTGGACCCGTTTTTCTCCTCCTCCTGAATCTGAGCAGCCTTCCTCTCATTTGTTTCAATTAGACAGTGAGGATTATTTGAGCTTGCATGGTGAATGTTGAGAAGCGCGAGCGCTTCAGGGACGAGGAACAGAAGGGTGTGAAACAAGCTGAAACACTCACAAACACACCTCCAAGGTCATTTATTTGGCTTCTATTTACATTCTGCAGAAAAGCCAAAACACCTACAGCTTCGGCTCAGAGAAGCATTGAAAAAGGAGTTTGTTAATATCAGGGCATTTTACTAGTGATAAAAAAAAGATCTGATCAAATCAGAAATAAAACTAACAAGAATTATTGATAAAACAAAAATGAGTGTGAAAATGTTTAAATTAAAAACAAATCCAAAGCTTGGTAACTTGTTACTTTACTTATCACTAACTGGTGGACTGACTGTAATGCACGACAGCAAATTTGACGTTAATCAAGCTATAAACAAAAACTCCTCATCGCAGTTAACCGTGCAACGTTTTTCAGTGCCACTGCGTCACAAGCACCTTGATTTCAGTCTCAGTTGCCATGGTTTCTTGTGAAATGCCTGATATGTTAGCTTATTATGCAGAGTATTTATAAAGTACTTTGCATTGACCATTTATGGCGGAAAGTGGGTGTGTAGGAGGCGGGATGTGATCTAGAAACTCCTAAGCGTGATTCACAAAGTAGGAATTCCGTGCCGCTGTGCGTGAGCAGTATAGGTCGGAACGTGTAAGTAGGTTTTTTTTTTTTTTTTTGCTGTGCTTAAGTAGTTTCCAAAAGGACTCTATGTAAAGTTCTGAGGCTCCTGATGGCATGTTTCTGTTGTTTCCTATTGGACGTAAAGCAGATGACTAATAGTGCTACCACCTGCACCTCCATGCAGCTCTGTTCTTCTTGCAAACACATTTATCTCTTTGGGATTCCAAGTTTCTGTGTTGAAAGCATAAAAATTAGACATCGTTTCATCATCCAAGCACGCTGGAAAGGCAAATAAAGCCAAAACAAAAGTTTTCTCTAATAGAAGGAAACTAAAATGTGTAAATGGAAAAAACTGGTGGAAATTATAGGAAATTACAAAGATATCCCATAAAGTAGTGGTTCTGCAGGTGGTGACCACAGACCACTTCTCAGTTCATATGCTTTCTGGCTGATGTTTTTGGTCACTTTTGAATACTGGTGGCTTTCCCTCTAGTGGCAGCATGAGACAGTCTACAACCCACACAAGTGGCTCAGGAAGTGCAGCTGATCCAGGATGGCACATCAATGCAAGCTGCGGCAAGAAGGTTTGCTGTGTCTGTCAGCGTGGTGTCCAGAGCATGGAGGCACTATTTGGAGACAGGCCAGTACATCAGGAGATGTGGAGGAGGGCAACAACCCAGCAGCAGGACTGCTACCTCTGCCTTTCTGCAAGGAGGAACAGGAGGTGCACTGCCAGAGCACACAATGTGTATTTCTGATCAGTTTCCTTGTGAGCAGGATCTCCGACACTTTTGAATAACATCACATCTGAAAATGATGAATTAGACTTGTTCTTGTAGGTTTTAAACTCTCTGCAGGCTCCAGCTGTTCTGTTAACCAGAATTAATTCAGAGCACCTCTTCTCACCCTGTGAGACAAAAGAGATGCCTGGATACTAAGTGAAAAGCATCCAAAACACCTAAGACAGAAGAGACAATCCTCACTAAGCATGGTGGATGTGTTTTAAAGACGGTAGTAATGGTAGCTTCTCGGTGTTATGGCTAGCTGTGGGAGCTGCATTGAACATTGCCACTAAAGGACATCGTTTTGTCTTGACTTTGTTTGGAAGATGTTGCAGACCTGGAACTTTCATATTTTACTAAACTGTAGCTTTCTGCTATAACTTTATTATCGTGATCAGTTCCATAGTCAACTTGTAATTAATCACGTTTTTCCTCCGACAACTTTAATCCAAAACACCAAAGCAGCACTCTTCTAAACTCTTAGCCAAGAGTTGCATGCAAGGTTTGGTTGACAGTCACACAAGGGCACGCAGGTCTAAATGCCTTTTTAAGAGTGTAAAAGTTCCTCTCTCGCTTCACGCTGTGGTTTCTTTTTTTAAACTAAATGTTCAGAACCAGCAAGCAATGGACTTCCAAATATATATATAAATGAAGTGATAAAACGCATGGAGTTAACTGATGTGTTAGGCCAACAATTGCACCTTTACTTTATAGTTAGTTTAAATGTAAACATATGTTGTGATTTGTTTCAAATATTTTTCTAAGGTGATATTGTCTCAGCTAAAGTAATCAGTATCTTACCCTTTGACAACTGGAGCGATCTCAGCATAGAGAATCAAGGGGACATCAGAATTGAGCTAATCAGGTAATCTGAGCAGGAAGCCATCAAGAGCAAATGTTTAGGTTTTGAACAAACTTAACTTTAGTCTTTTTCAAAAGTCCAAGTGTATGCTGTATGAACTTCATATTCTATGTGAAAAGTAGTTTAGATTTTTGCTATTCTTCCCAGCCAAACTGGCATCTTTTAACATGCAACAGCAAGGTGAGAACTTTAAATCAACAGCAGTCAAGATCTGAAGAGAAACAAACGTGAGGGGCATTTTAAGTCATTCTAAGCAACTTTTTTTACATTTTTAAATCACTTTCTTGAGCCAGTATGTGATAAAACGACAGGGTTACAGGGTTAATGAGAAGTCAGCCCCCTCTGGCCCTTGTGAGCAGGACACCCTGTTTGCAACTTCAGCATCTCTGGATCGCATTCCTAAAGTCTCACAAAGTCATGCTTTACAGCAATCCCTGTTCACACCTCAGAACAGACGAGCTATACAGTACCTGGTCAGCATTTATTTTTTATTTTACTTTTAGTAAGCTGCATATCTTGTTCTTTTTTAGACTGTCAACCATCTCCAAAAACATTAAGAATATTACTTCAAACACATATTTTATGTCAGCTGCTTCTGAGCAGAAGTAGATAAAACATCTGACACATTTTATTCTTATAGGCCTCAAATAAACCAAAACCCTTTCATTAAAAAAACCTACATGACTGGAAGCTACTTAAACAGAAGAATAGTGGACAGGTTGATGCTTTCATTGTCATTTATTTTGAGTTAAATGAAAAACTAATGTGAAAAGGTAAAAATGTGTGGACGTGGTTCAGCAGATAAAGAACTTTTAAAAGTTCTGACGACTCCTAGGAGGAGGTCACACTCAAATCTGAAAACCATTTACATATTCTGGTGAACTCAATTCTCTTATTTCGGCACAAAAGTTAATCTAAATGGAAGAAAAATGGTGTGCTAAAAAGATTCTATTTGTATGCAAATATTTACATATGCAACAGAGGGATGAATACACACATGATAAAAAAAAAACTTAGTCATTTATACACATAAGGCCCACAGCTCGCTTTGTTTTCTGTATTTACACTAAAAACAGTTTTTCTCTGGTTGATACTGCCACATAAGCACTGTAAACAAACTCAGATTTTATCTGTCTCACACTGAAGATGGACACGGTTTTCCATTTATGAAAAACTACTGCTGGTGTGGTCTTTACAGACGTGTTACATTATTTTACATGCAGAGCTTCTCTGTACTTAAAACTTAAGATTGGTTTAAAATGCATGTTCTGCATTAAATAAAATAGATCTATTAAGAAAAAAATCACGACTACTAGATTAGAATTCTCACTAAAAATAAAAATATACTTTTAAAAACACAGAAGAGCCTCTTCATTATAAAAGTAGAGCAAATCTATTTGTCCTTGATATTACTGTTCCACAGCGGGGTGTCTAATAGGACTTAATTATTTGATTTCTTTGTGTTTTTTAACCTCCCTTGTTATGAAATCCTTTAGATTTAGATGCAGTTTGTTGTGTAAAAGCTTTATATCTTGTCATAAAAGAGAAAAATGTTGAATTAATTTTAATTAAATGGAAACGTTTGTACCATTTGTGAGTTTGCAGTTACATCCTTTTATATTAAATACCTCAAAAACCCAAAAGTGACAATGTGCATGTCATCGGGACTCATTTTGTTTCAAAAGAGAAAAAAAATTACATGAGTTATTTATTTATTCTTTTTTACTGCTTTCAGAAACGAAATGTGGACCAACATCGGTTTCATCATGATTACAGCAGCTATGCCTCACATGTTAAATCCATAAGGAGCTCAGACGTTTGTGTAATCACCAGAAGATCTAAGAAGAGGTCAAAAGCGCAATAATTAGTTAATATGAAAACAGAAATCCTTTATTTTTTCTTAACAAAACTATGATATTATTACAAGTCTAAAGTGCACAGCTTCACTGAATAAGGCATAAATCAAAGTGCAAGAACTCGTTCTTTTTAAATGTGACAGGACACTGACTGGTAAAACTAAAGCTGTAAACAGAAACATATTCAAGATGAAGGTAAAATTCTACAATATCTGTGTTGAATGTTGGTGTTAAAATCAGTAGCAGTTATTGAGGTAGTTTGATCTCTTGACTGAACATGGATATTCTCAGCCTTTACGTAAAATAAATTACCTCTAAAACTCCTCTGATCTCTTAGAATCTGGTAATGATTCCGACATGAAGGAATACTAATATTGCATTACTTTTAGATTGCACTAAGCTGGACTTTAAACAAGATGGAGATGTAAAATGTGGCATGATTACATTAAAATCCCTGTCAAACAGCAGCAAATTATAACAGGAATACAGATAAAACTGATCTAAATGGTTCAGAGTGGCTGCAACGACCTGCTGATGGTCAGCATCACTGGACTACGTAGGTGGAAAGGTCCCCTTCATGTTTTTGCCCATTTCGGGTGATGATTTCCACAATGGCAATGTAAGTTCCTGCAATGAAGCCGATGAAACCAAACAGGCTGATAATTAGGTTCTTGACGAACACCAGTGGAGACGTGCCCTCCGTGTGAAACGCTAGAAGCTGCAAGATGGGAGGAAAGATGAGAGCCAGGAAACTGCTGCTGACTGAGCCGACCAATGAGATGACTAGGTCCAGCTCCGGTATCAGGATGGCGAGGGTGCCTGGAGTAAGAGAGAGACAAATGAGATGAGTCTGCTGATGAGGTTAAGGACCTATCATACTTCACACAACCCCGAAACTGCATTATCACTTAAGATAATCAAACTTTTATAGATATTGAGCTAAACTTTGGTATGTAGGTTGTTGAAAGTCACCACCAACACAAACTTCAAGTGACACACGCATAGTTAAATAACACATTTAAATCAGTTCAGGATCCACAACTAAAAGTGGTAGCCACAACTGATCACCCTTAGCAGACAAGACTTCAGGATAGTGAACTACATGTTTGTATGGTAGTTGAGAGGCCGAGGCTCTTAAAACAGGCTCCAAATACAGGTACATAATGAAAAATAAATATTGATAAAGTCCTAACCCTAACCCATAGAAAAGGAACTTCCTATTTGACCTACAACAGCTAGAATGCCCTTCTCAACATGAAACTGTTTCAGTTTAAAACTGACATGAAAAAGGACTGGGATTATGAATTCCTTGAAAGACTGCTTTTGTATTGCATTTTTATTGGTCAGCTGAAACAAAATGTACAATGTGACCACAGGGAGCCTGAGTCACACCCATCTACTTCCAGATCATAGGTCCTCGGAAGAACGAATAAACGAACGCAAGTCAATGGGGTTAAAAACTCTATTTTCTAATTCCACTTATTATGTGCCATGGATTTCACATATGATGTTCGTGAATTTTAAATATGCATTTTGATACCAAGAAAGTGCTTATGTTCGAACGGTGGGAAATGTTATTTTACGTTTGGTGTGAAAATAAGTCCAGGACTACAAATGCGCTTCACGAAAGTGACGTCATTGAACCAGACATGGAAAACAGAGAGAAAATGGCTGTAAGTTCATCTTCCTTCAGGAGGAAAATATCTGGCCATGTGGTAAGTAGCAGCTACGCTGGGGAAGACGGTATTCTGCGGTGATGTTACATATATGCGACGTGGTGATTCCTGGTTTATAGTCATGCTAATTACAAACTTTAACAAGCTTCTAAGGCCCTGTCCACACGTAGCCGGGGATCTGCCAAAACATAGATATTTTTCTACGTTTTGGCCTGTCATCCACACAAAAACGGAGTTTTTTCACACGAAAACGGATCTTTTTAAAAACTCCGGCCAAAGTGAAGATCTGCGTTTTCTTCGTTTTGGGTGTCTACGTGTGGACGGACAAAACCGGAGTTTTAAGGTCCGCAACGTCACTTTCCGCAACAAACAATGCTGACATCACGTGTGCGACCTGTGTTTACACTAGCCGACAGCATGGATGCCCTCAGAGTTGCGCTCGCTTTATCAATTGTCCAAGCGCTTTTTGCTTGTTTGTTTTTGCAAGCGGAATTACTGCTCCTTGCGGAAGACCACAGACAAAGGACGAGGTTAAGAACGGGGGAAGTACTGCCGCCTACAGGTCTGGCATGTCCTTAACAACGTATTTATCCGGGTATGTGTGGACAGAGTTTGTTTTTAAACAAGGTGGTGTGGATGCAAGTTTTTGGAGGGGCAGATATTCGTTTTTAAAACACCCCGGCTATGTGTGGACTAGGCCTAAATCTCAACAGGCATGATTGAAACACCCATCATTAGTTTTCATTTAAAATGCAGTACAACATATCCAGGGCATAACACAAAGCAGATTAGAAAATAGCTCTTTTAGCCCCGTTGACTTCCATTCATTTTTTTCGTTCTTCCGGGGACCCATGACCTGACCGGAAAGGGAGGAGTCTTAGGCTCCCTATATAAAAAGTATGAAATAGTAATTATGCTCTATCCAGCTGTTTCACATAGAGATAAAAGTCAGAACTATTCACTTTTCACTAAGAACATAATTTTGATTTTTTTATCTTGTGCAGACCTATCTTTTCACTTCACCTTTTTTAAAGAGGATATATTATGCAAAACTCACTTTCTGCATGCTTTTGAGCTGCCATGTGGGTTTCTACTGCCTCTATAAACACTACAAAAGTGGAAAAAAAAATCCATCCATTTTCTGTCAGCATTTGGTTTTGGGATATGTTTCTAAAACAAACCATTTCAAAAAGTCGTTGTTTGTGTCACAAATTAGCATAGAACTTCCATCAACCGGTCAATACTGGAGGAGCAGCAGCTCTACTTTGGGCCCCTTCCATATTTCAGTGCATCTCTGAGTGAGGGAGGGGTGGGCATGGCCAGCTCCAGCTATTTCTTGAAAGGACAGAGCCCTTGTACAGACCTGGGGTATTCAAATCCGAGTCTGGAGGGACAGTATCCAACATGTTTTAGTTTAAAATCTATTTCAACACACCTGGTTTTAATCAGCAGATAATTAACAGGCTTCTGCAGAGCCTGACGAGCTGTGGCACAGGTGATTGAACCATTGAATCAAGTGTGTTAGAGCACAGACACCTCTGAAACATGCTGGATACCAGCCCTCCAGGCCTGGAATTGAATACCCCCAGTATAGGCCACAGAACTATTATGACTTGTTTAACCCTTAAGAACCCAAACTGTTTTGAAGTAGAAGAAAAAATTAAAATAATATATTAATATGTAGAAAAAAAGTAAAATAAAAAAGTAAAATATGTTTTGATGTATGTATGAATAGAATGTCACTTGGGGGTTTTCAAACTTGAATATATGACTCAAGAAGCGATTTGCTGAATCTTGAAATGGGCTGTGACACCACTGTCGCCACTTAAAGTGACAATGTGTACTTTATAATCTCTGGAAAAATCCATCGAAATGTTTTTGTAGATGAATTAAAAGATGCCCAGTTGTTAAAAAAAATTGGAAGTTTCATAACATAACCATAAAAATAGGGTCTAAAATACATGGGAGCGAATCCAAGTCTCTGGCTGACGCCATATTGGATGCCGTGTTTCCTTTTACAGAAACCCATGAGGACAAAATGTATTTACTGATTTGTGACAAATGGTTACACAACTTTCACCATTAATATACGTTGTTCTACACATTTACCTCTTCACTCATTGCCAGTGATGAAGGGGAATCTGATGTGTGTGTTATTTTGCTGGAGGTTGTTCTCCCAGGGACTTTTGACCCTAATGGCCATCCGTCGCTAAGGTCTTACTTGAACACAAAAACAATGCTTGCTTGAAATAATTTAGGTAAGTACTGCCCCCTATCACCAGAGAAAATACACACTGTCACTTTAAGAGTTAAAAACAGTATAATACCCCCTTTAAAGTAACACTAAACCATGTTTAACACTTTAAGCTCACGTCAATAAATAAAAGTGGGTTTCAGTGATTGTGTAGGTAGAAATGTTACCAACTTCACCTTGGACTGCACTCTGCTGACAAGAAGCCACCCTTAACAGTTTTGTGAGAGAGGTAAATGCCCTAGGGAGAGGTCTGTTTACTCTGCTGGTAGCTAATACAATAGGCTAGCAGTTAGCTTTATCAGTTTGCTGACAGTCAACAATGTGAATAAGAAAGGAAAAAAAAAGTTTACTTTGTTGGCATCATGTTGGAGTCTGGAAGTCAAAGTAAGAGAGTAATGTTTTTGGAGGTGAAGCAAAGAGCTAAGACCAGAGTGAACATCAGAACGGCCCACATAAGTTTATAGGAGCTAAAGGAGGCTACAAACTCACAGATTTGTAAGTAATATTATTTCTTGTTCAACAGTGTGGGTCTTTTTACTTCATGGTTTGTTTTAGTATCAGTTGTCTCATATTAGCATCAGCTCATTGTTAGTGCTAGATACAGCAGGCTGCGGCAGGGTTGTTCACGATAGTTGTAATTCTGCTTTGAGCTAGGAGGAAGAAGCTGGAAACAGTTAAGTGTTACTTCGAGAACACACTTTTGGCAACCCATTGGGTGGCAGATTTTCCTGCTTATGGCCCTTAAAGAATGACATTGCGATGAAACATAGCTCGTTTTCCCAACCAGATAGCTATTTAAAAGGGTTTCAGGTTCTGGCAGGTTTTGATCCTTTATTCTCTAAAAGAGCAGCTTCATACAGGAACTCTTGATGTGGAGAGAGCTGATGGAGGCAATGTCTACGTTTTTTGGGTGAGATCAAATTGTTTCTGTTCATGTCAATGCAAAGTTTTAACCTGTAATGACTAAATAATCATTCTCCTCTGAATGTCCTTCAGTTGAATGCTGAAGATTTATGACACTTCTGTTGGACACTGCCCTTTATTTTAATCAAGCAGATTAAATAAAGAGTTACTTCTTATCAGATTCAAACGGCTCTAATGTTTTCAAAGGCCTTTTAAAAGCAAAGCTGTGGAGAAAAATGAAAGCACACCTTGTAAGTGTGTTGAGTTATGTTCAAATATTCACTTTGTGTCTTCAGAGCAAATCTGTCCAGATCAAAAGTCTCTTTTTGCTTCTGATTGTCAGATATGATCTCTGAATGCTTTCTCTCACACCCACAGCTGCCTCTTAGGATAAACAGCATCATAATTGGTGGTTTTTCATGTGAGCTTCAAACATTTTTAGTCGTACTCAAATATACTCCTGACATCACAAAGCAGATCCTACAATTTCTCTCCAGCTTGAGTCATCAGCCTAAAAATCGCAGACAAATCTGACACCTTTTGATTGTTGCTGATCAAAGAATGCATTATCACCTCTTAGGCAAGGAGCACTTTATTGATGTAAATGCTCTTGTGTAGCTGAGGATCCAGATGAGAACAACGTAGATGTTACATTTTTTTAGGCATACAGTTCATACCAGGGGAGAGACGGCTCAAAAAGGTGGGGCACACTCTGACGTGAACTTAAGTTAAGCGAAAAGGAGGAACGAGACGGAATAGGTGAAAGAAAATGGCAATGTAAGAGAAAAAAGGAGTAAAAAACAAACCGAGCCGTTTGGGAACTGTTTTCCACGTGTCAGTTCAAGCGAAGATCATGATGCTAAAGCCACGAGGATCATGAGTCCCCTTGTGTGGTTGCTATAGAGACGGACATAAACAGCCCCTTTGACGTGGAGCCTTGTTCGTCATGAGTGAGGTATGTGTTGATGTTCCTGCATATCAGAGGA